AACTTGCTAGTATAGTATCATTTTAAAGTAGACTACCAGACAGATTTAATAATATAAGTATTAAAGGGCCTGTATTACACTATTTTCTAATCTAAGTTATAATGTTGTTTCCTCATCACAAACATACATAGTTGTGTTTTGTTTCATTCACATGTTTAACACACAAATCCTACATATTGAGGCTGCGTTCTTCTCTCAAACAGAAAAGATTCTGATCGACCTTGTGGTGTAATATGGTACAACAGGAAGGGTTCAGGAAGGCGTGTGGAGTTTTTAAACACCTTCACTTTCCAGTCTCTACTGAACTTAAGGCAAAATGCAGCTGTTAACTTGAAAATTACCACTATATGACGTCACAACGTGGAATATAGCATTTTGAGCTTTGGAGATGTAGACTCACATACTCAAACATGTGGGAATGACACAAATCACAACTCTGGGTATGTTTTTGATGAGATAACATTATAACATGACTTAAAGCTCACAAGAATCCATTTTGTGTAATACAGGACCTTTCACTTTTGACTGTGTGTCTTGGGTTAACTTGACCATGCCTCTGTATAGTCAAAAAGCCAGATACCATCAAAAACAGCAACTTCTCTAAAGCAGCTCAAGATAACGATGTTTGTCTTGATTTTTCACAGTGGGTGGGTTGCTTTGTTCAACTTTCTTTCATTTCTGTCCGTTCTGACTTAAAACAAAGCAGTTTGCCATTTGAAACAATGAAGAGAGACGCATCCAGCGTGTTTTGCAAGCTTTAGATTGAACTTTGACCTTGCCATAATCCCTTTCACTACATCCGCTTTTAAATTAGACGTGTGACACTCCACTGCCCTCAGCTCATCAGTCCCCTGTTCACTTATTAGTTCTGAAAGGAGAGGGCCTCGCATTTTCAACTTACAGTGGGAAAGTCGATCAAACTCAAACTTACATTATATTTTCCATTTAAGTTGCACTAAAGGGAGTGGGTCAGACTTCTTCCCATAAATGAGAAATTTTCCAGCAATTTCATAGCTAAATTCCATATGGACACATTTGGTTCAAGCAGGCAGTTCAGCTCAGCCTAAATATGCAGAGTTTGTGTGTTAAATGCGTGTGAATGAAACAAAACACAATTCCAGGTATGTTTGTGCTGAGGAAACAGCATTATGACATAGAAAATAGTGTAAAATAGGCCCTTTGTGTTGTTTAGAGTCTTACAAGTGCATGTCAAGATTCTGCTCTCTGGTAATAAATCAACTAACACTGGGTATTTGTACACAAAGTTTCAAGTGCACTCGAGCTGATATGACTCTTTTGTCAAACTATAACTCTCTTTCCTCCAGTCTTTCCAAATGTTATAGTAAGTATGCAATTCTAAAAAAAGGTTTTGCGATGAATAACTAAAACATTATTGATTTAATATTTTACACAAGCTATTGAAGCAGATCTTATGAAAAATAATGAACAGAATTTGAACTCGCACTAAGGGTTCCATCACTATTGGGTCAAATCTTTTCCCCATAAATGAGAAATTTTCCAACAATTTCATGGCTAAATCCCATATGGACACATTTTGCTCAAACAGTAAAACCTCTCCTCTTCCTCCCTTCCCCCTTTCCTCTGGCAGAGCAAATTCAGGCAGCAAAGCAAAAACCAACAATCCGCATTGGAACTGGTCCTTTTTTTCGCAACCGCTCAACTGTTAACTGTGTTCTTTGCCGATCAAAGCAGGCATGGTCGGACTAGGTCTATGTAGGGCCTCTTCCCAAAATCAACAGCAGCTTCGTACAATGCCCAGGGGTTTCTGTCGTCTTCCTCTTTTCGGTGGGAGAGCCGAGAGAAAAAATCATGATCAAGTAGTTTTTAGACAACACAAACCCGCCCCCTCTATTTGCCGCTTGGTTGGACTGATTACTCAATGCAGTAGTGACACAGCCATTTGTATAGTGCATAAGGTTAGCTGTAACTCACCACTTCCATTTTAATTTACTGTACAGGGAAGCTTGGAAGTTAACAGCATGTGACAAGCATTTCAATTAGCCTGCTTTTTTTTACGTCAGCGCTTTTGCAAAACATATCACTTAATCTTTACATTGCGTCACATTCAGGAAATTGGATACAATATAGGCCCTATATTACACAAAATGGATTCTTGTGAGCTTTAAGACATGCTATAATGCTAAAAAACATCCCCCAAGTTGTGTTTTGTTTCATTCACAAATGTTTGAGTCATTTTTTATTATTAGTCTGTCTACATCTCCACAGCTCAAAATGCTCTGTTCCATCTTATGATGTCATGAAGCGGTAGTTCCTACTTGGCAAGTCCAGGGCTGAAATCATCCAACTGATTCTAGTGAAAGTGTATGCACTTTAAAAACACAGTGGAGCACTTCCTGTACTACCACATGACAGCACAAGGTGGAACAGAGTGTTTTCAATTTAATAGAAGAACTCAGCCTAAATACGCAGGATTTGTGTGTTAAATATGCGTGAATGAAACAAAACACAACTCCGGGTGTGTTTCTGATGAGGAAACAACATTACAGCAGACAAAAGCATGGTATGGGGACTTTAATCTCTGCATCGCGCCGCATTCAGGAAATTGGATACAATATAATCCTTTCGCAAACGTGAAACTTAAGCAAAAACATGTCTGAACTGAAAGACTGAAAGAATGGAGTGAATGTATGGCACGAGCTACCCTCGGGCTCTGCTCCCTGCTGATGGAGATGGTATGTTGACTGAGGATATGTTGGCTGTTGTATGTTTTACTGCATGGTTCCACAGGGCTGCACATGTGCTGACCTATCTGCACAGGACACACCAGCCCAGGCACGTTTTACTAGAGCAGACAGTGTTGCATTCACTGGGCCCGGATCAATACTTAATCTCTGTTTGCTTATAGATTCGCCGGAGTGGGCTGCACACTTGAATTGCTCTTGGGAAGAATGTTTAGAAAGTTAAATGTGCACTTTGTGACTTTATAGCTGGAGGTGTCTGCCATTTACTTGTTGCCATGGTATTGCTTTGTCTGGAATAGTCTACAGTCACTGGAGACAAGTAGGCCAAACTAAAGGTCAGATCTGTGGAGAGGCGACCTCATTCACAGAGAGAATTATTATATTTTTGAGCAATATAAACACCCGTAATGAATAAATGTTAGATAGACATGTTTAATGTCATACCATGGAACATTCCAGGAAAAGCAATAACATCTCCATGGAGACAAACAGGTGACAGACCCTCCACAAGAAAAGTTGCACAATGTATCTTAAGAATATATGTTTCTTCTTGGTATATTTGTACTTTAGAAAATGCTAGTTTATTGTCATACTGTTCCAGGCAAAGCAATAACATCTCCATGGAGATGAGCATGTGATAGACAGTGCTGCTTTAAGATCTGAAAACAGTTTACAATCTTAGAGGTAACAAGGTTTTGTTTCTGGTAATAGATCAACTAACATTAGCTACTGGTACACAAAGTTGTACTTGCACTGAAGCTGATGTGCTTAATTTTGTCAAACTGTAACTCACTAGATATCTGTTACCTTTGCAATTCCATAAAAGGTTTTACAGTGAATGAAAAAATAATGGAATATGGGACCTCTAATAACATGGTTGTCATGTGCTACTAGTATATTTGGAGTCAAGTTTCTACCATGAAATCAATTGGCACGATCATGAACTCAGCCAGCAACTTGTGACATAACTCAACTGCCATTTCATGGCTTGCTCTTTATAAACTGTGCAAATCAGATGAAATTAAATGACATACTGTTCTGTAGAAAAGTTAATCCTCTGTGCTTACTGCTTATGTAATATAAAGTAAGGTCTATACCAGGCAGCACCAGTATCATAAGACCAGAGCTGCTTGGTGCCTTATACAGTGCCCTCTGCTAATAAAGGCTCCCCTGATCAACTTTGATTATGAAATGTTCTGCTGAGCATTTCTGACTGCAGCTAACTTATGCAATTCTATAGCAATGACTGAACCTCTTAAGTTTGTGTACTGAAAAATCAACAGACGGCCCTTTTCTAGTTAAATCTTATTCACGTTGATGTAGAATGGATATGCCTAAGAAAATTTATATCCAGATAGTAATTGATGGTAAACCTAGTATCAAAACTAAATACTATTGATACAGTTTTATAATAGTGTTGTTCTATATGAGAACTACTATAAGACCACATAAAATTAATGAAACTACTATAAATGTGTGTTAAAATTGTCTAAAAATCATGGTAACTGATTGTGTTGAAATATTGAAATGGAGTTACTTGGTATTGTGACAAAACTACTCTGAGGTTGGATTTCTGGTTCCTTGACACATGGTAACATGCTCGGTTCGGTAACTGGTTCGCCTGTATTCAGCCTTACATTTTACTATAGGTGATTTTATGTATTTTACCATTTTAGGGCGTGTGTGCGTGTGTGTGCCAGTGGGTGTGCGTGTCTGGGTTGTTTGGTTGTGTGGAGTCGGGCAGGTGTGGGGGTTGGGTAAGTGGGTGGGTGGATGGAAATGTGGGATTGTTTTTAATCACTGTAAAGCAATTTGTGTTACGTTTTTGTATGAAAAGCACTTTTTAAATAAAGTTTGATTGATTGATTGAACATAAACAGATTTTATATTTGGTTCATGTTAATTTAAACAGGTATCAGAAAATTTGATTTACATAGTATGTATTTTATACATTTTTGTGAATATATTTTATTTGAGAAAACTTAAAAAAAAGGTGATTGTTCATCTAAGTAAGTATGTAAATAAGGAGTGGAAGCAGAATACTGTAAGGCTTAGGCTTAATTCTCTCTCTCAAACATATTGGGGCTTGTTGAATGTGAGATTGCATTATTGTTTTTGTTCCTAATGTTTGAGACAGTTGCCATAGCGATTAACATTTTATACATTTTATATCTTAAGCAAATGAGCAAAGTCCACAAACTGTTGTATAGAATAGGAAGTTGAAACATGACTAGTAAAGAATGTTAAAGTAGATGTTTCTTCTATTGTCTTCCTTACCTGTGATAACATTGATGTCTGGATAGGTGTTTTCACAGAGCTCCACTCCATGGCTGTCTCTCTCGAAGGCCTCACGGAGCTCCTTCTTCACAGCTGCAGAGCCACACAGACGGTAAAGGCCCACCACCTGCACATCACACACACACATAAGGGACACTCCGAGACACAAGTAGGTCAAATAAACACCAGGACACGAAGAGTTAAACAGTTGACAGAGCGGCAGACATTTTTACAGCTCCATTGATCAAGTTCAACTCCAGCACTCAAACAATGCGCTGGAATGACGCCAAAGAGCTTTCAAGGAACAGACAGAGCCTTAAACCGTGTCTGTAAACTACTCAGTATAAAGACGTTTAATGCCACAGGAGAGAAGTCCAAATAAGAATACTATTTAGAGAGGGCTGCACAATATATATATAACAACACAAAGTTATACATTTTACAGAAAATAGAGTTGTTGTTTTTACATTTTTTTTTAAAGTACACTGTGCAACTTTTTCACAGTATGATATTAAACATATCTATTTCCATGGTGACAAGCACCAGGCCAATTTACAGGTCTGGTTTGTGGAGAGGTAGGGCCCGCTTACAGTAGAGTGCATATTTTTCAAGGTATTATTTTACTGTAAAAAATAAAATAAAATTGCACAATAAGCAAGTTTATCATATATGGATGCTGGAAAAGTTATATAGTGTACCTTTAAGTAAAATGCACAAAAAGGCAGATTTTATTCATGATTTTCCTTACTTGGATTGGTATTAGTTTAGTTTGACATGTAAATGAATGCATGCACATTTTTGTTTTAATTTAACTGAACTTTTTTGTGCCAAAAAGTAGGCTATTATAATATATCACAGTAATATCGTTATGATTAGTTGCAATACAAAATTTGCTATCACATCTTTTTCTCATATTGTGCAGCCCTGTTAGAGAATAAGTTTCATTGTGAACTAATATAAAACAGCCTGTTCTTTCAAGGTCCAAGGAGGAAAAATGAAACAATGACATAAAACCACTGAAAATATTTCTTACAGTGGTGCTCGATGGTTTGTTTTGCTTTCAGTAAAATATACAAATTATGGTAAGACAGAATCAATGTAACAAGAGAAATTTACAGTGTAGCCTCAGAAGAAGAAGAAGCCTTGTAACTTTTCTTGTGTAGTCAGCTACCAGCTTGTTTCCACACAGTTGTTATTGAATAGCCTAAAATGTTTCACAGTAGGGCATTAAGCTTGCGTATATCCATGGGGCCAGGTTACAGGTCAGATATGTGGAGATGTTTTTTTGTTAATTATTGTTTTAGCAACAAAAATACCTAATATCAGTTATGGAATTAAGGCAGGATGGATAGATTTTATGCCACACTATGGAATATTCCACACAAAGCAATACGATTTTTGGTGAGGGTTAAATTTGTAATAATGTTGTTTCTTCAACAAAAACAAAGCTGGAATTGTGTTTTGTTTCATTCACACATTTTCAACACAAAAACCCTGCATATTTTGGCTGAGTTCTCTGAAACAGAAAACACTCTATTCCATCTTGTGATGCCATGTGTAATACAAGAAGTCCTCCACTGTGTTTTTAAGCTCCACACACCTTCACTATCATCATTTGGATGATTTCAATCCTGGAATTGCCCATCTCTACTGAACTAAAAGTAAACAGTAGGTGTTAACTTGAAAACATGAAAAGTACATGACATCACAAGGTGGAACAGACCATTTTGAGCTTTGGAGATGTAAACACAGACTAATAATAAAATAGTACTCAATCATATGTGAATGAAACAAACACAACTCCAGGTATGGTTTTGATGAGGTAAAATCATTCTAACATAGCTTTGAGTCCATCTTACATAATATAGGCTTTAAGTATCAATTATTTTTGACTGCCTTTGGCTTTGTTTACCTCCTTTACATGTGTTAGCTATTTCCAGCCTTCCTCACACACTGCTGAAGGATTCTTGATTAGCTATATTTAGTAAGTATATCAAAATGTACCAGGCTGCTTATCTACCAATGGTGCAAGCAAACACCAACTGCTCTTAATTAGGAACAAACGTCAGTGTATTTATTTAAATCATGAATGCTCCCCTTCAAACTGGTTAAACAGTGTCTGTGTTATGCCCAAGTACACTCAGCTCCCTGATAAAAGTGTCACATTCACAGGACTGCACGGATAAACAGGCTTCTACTTAAGACCTAAATAGACAGCCCAGCGTTTAAAATGGAAACTGTGAGCATAATGTTCTCCAACCAGACCCTAATGTGTATCTTAGAGCAGTCAAATCTTTCACGCCTAGTACCACCAAAGAAAAGGTTTATAGGTCCTGTATTACACTATTTTCTGACCTATGTTTAATGTAGTTTCCACATTAAAAACATACCTGGAGTTGTGTTTTGTTTCATTCGCACATGTTTAAGACACAAAGCCTTCGTTCTACTGTCACTAAAAACTCCATCAACCTTCACTAAAATCATTTGGATAATTTTAGAAACAGAACTGACAGTTTCTACTGAAATAAAGGTAAAACGTAGCTGTTAACTTGAAAACTATCGCTTCATTACATCACAAGTGGAACGGAGGATTTTGAGCTTTGGAGACATAAAAAACTAATAACTAAGAATTACTCAAACGTGTAAATAAAACAAAACACAAAAACCAGGTATGTTTTCGAGGAGGTAACAGCATTCTAACATGGCTTAAATCTCACAAGTAAATTTTGCATAATATAGGGTGTTTAATGGGGTGTAAGGATATCCAAGTCTCACGATACGATATCATCATGGTATGATGATCCTCACGGTACGATATTTATTGCGATATCATGTGAAAGCTCAAGATATGGTGGGGAGGCTCACGATTAGGGATGTAACAATATCCAAATCTCTTGGTCCAATATTTTCACGATATACATCTCACGGTACGATATTTATTGCGATATTTTATGGAGGCTAACAAACTGTTAATATGCTACTCATTCCGCTTAGAATTCCTTGACAAGACTTAATCCAAAGAACTAAGACTTAAAAGTGCTTAGAAGTGTTATTTTTTTCTTGTAGTCTACACTGAAATGGAGCAAAGGACCATGGTCTATGTAGTTCCCTCTGACTATTGCTGCACCATAACTCTTAATTTAAGCAAAGAGACTTGTAATTCAATATATTGTGATAGTCCCCGATATTATTGTGAGAACTTTGAGGATACGATATCACAATATTTCAATTATTGTTACACCCCCAGTTTTTAATTTAACAAGTACAACCAGATCTAAACCAAGTGTATTATTTGAGGTCAAAATTAGGGATAACCCAAGTCTTTAAATAGACTACAACAACATTACCATAGCAGTCTAACAAGGCAATGACCTGAAGGAAAGCAAAAATGTGGAAAAGTTAATAAAGTGAAGAGGGACATTTGATAGTTGAAACTCAGCACCCACTCTCTCTTGCCTTGTTACATTGGAATTAGTCTTGGCTTTGGAGCAGTAGACATACCATAATTTCTCCTACATGTGTCTGTCTGGTATGTGGCATTGCAGTCCAAGTGGTGTGGTTGCCCCGGTAACGCGTTAAGTCAGTGGGCTGTGAATGCGGGGTCTGCGTGCATGCACATTAGAGCTGCACGAAAAAATGTGATAACTATGTTTACTATTACAAAAGAATATTATCGATATTGACCATTAGAGTTAGATTGATAGATACTTTATCGATCAAGAAGGAAATTCAGCGTTCGGCAGCATAGAAACAAGCATAACAACATAGAAAAGATATTAGAGATAGGTGCATTTTAACTTTTGAACCACCTGCTTTATGTCATTGCTTTGCCCAGAATGTTCCGCAGTATGGCACTAAACTTTAAACCAATGGAGACAAGCGAGTGATGCCACATTACAAGCCAGATCTGTAGAGAGGCAAACCTGATCACAGTAAGTAAGTTTTTTTAAGATATTTTTTGAATAAAACTATATTGTAAAAAATTCTAGGCAAAGCTATAATCTCCATGGAGCCTCCCACCAGAAAAGTCCCTTACTGAAACTTTACATTAAAATAAATGCCTTAATTTAATAGTCACACTGTGTCAAAATAAAAAACCAAAACAAAAGCAACACCAACACTAGGCCTAATTAGGAGAATCATGGGCAAAACGTGGCTTTTTGAGATATTTTAAGTACATTCCTTTCAGAAAGAGTACCTTTATATTATTGTGAAGTGTTTAGTTGCTTGCTATGCTCATTATTGCGATCTCCTTTATATTACGCGGCCTGAATTCACATAAAGTATCAGAGCTATAATCAAGTCCCCAAAGAGGCACAAAGTTGACCAGTGTTTCCTGAAGCTCACACGACAGGGAGAAAGGGCAGCTCAGATTAGCCCTGGATTTAGCTTCGTGCAATAGTAAACACAAGTCACTGGGCACAATGAACAACAAGTCCATTCACAAAAAAGACGACTCCCAATGCAGGCGGGGACCAGCTGTTGGCAAAGAGGGGGCTCGCGCTTATGGACTGCGGCTGCCCGGGCAACACTGCACGTAGCAACCAGCCAGGCTAATATGTGGAGAGAGGTGTTTGGTCACTTAGTTTAGTCAGTTAATCGGTTGATGGTTTCATAGTGGATAGAAATGTGCATTATTCGACTAATAATTTTATTTATGCAATAGTCAATCTAAGTCAGGTTTATTTATAAAGCACATTTAAAGGTCTTATATTACACAAAATTAACTCTTGTGAGATTAAGCCATGTTATAATGTTGTTACCTCATCAAAAACATATCTGGAGTTGTGTTTTGTTTCATTCACACGTTTGAATAACCCTTTATTATTAAATTTACATCTCCAAATCTTAAAATGCTCTGTTCCACCTTGTGATGTCATGTAGTGGTACTTTTCAAGTTAACAGCTCCTTTTACCTTCAGTGAAGATTGACAATTCCAGAACAGAAATATTCCAAATTATTCTAGTGAATGTGTACGGAATTTAAAAACAAAGTGGAGTAATTCCTGTACCTGTATTACCACATGACATCACAAGGTGGAACAGAGTGTTTTCTGTTTGAGAGAAAAACTCAGCCTAAATATACAGGATTTGTGTGTTAAACATGGGTGAATTAAACAAAACACAAGTCCAGGTATATTTTTGATGAGGAAACTAAATTATAACTAGAGGTGAAACGATATCCAAGTCTCACGATACAATATCGTCACGGTATGAACCTCACAGTACGGTATTTTTTGCGATATCATGGAAAAGGTTACGATATGGTGGGGAGGCTCACGATTAGGCATGTAACAATATCTAAATCTCTTGGTACGATATTTTCACAATATACATCTCACAGTATGATATTTGATATTTATTGCGATATTTTGTGGAGGCCAACAAAACTGTTAAAATGACTTGACAAGACTTAATCCCAAGAACTAAGACTTAAAAGTGCTTAGAACTGTTATTTCTTCATGTAGTCTACACTGAAATGGAGCAAAGGATCATGGTCTATGTAGTTTCCTCTGTTACTTTTGCTATTGCTGCACCATAACTCTTAATTTAAGCAAAGAGACTTGTAATTCAATATATTGTGATGGTCCACGATATTATTGTGAGAATTTTAACCATACGATACCACAATATTTTGGTTATTGTTACATCCCTAATTATAACATCAGAGAATAGCATAATATGGACCCTTTAAAACAACCACAGCTGCCGTAAAAATACTGTGCTGTAAAAATACAAAAATATAAAGGGTAAGCTTGGTAACCTAACTATTATCATAATCTTATTGTTTATCACGGTATATCTCTGTAGCAATATATTCAAAATGTGTTATCGTGACAGGCCTAGCCTTTAGTCAGTCAAGAATTTCTTCAGTCGGCTACAGCTTTAGTGAAGTGACAGTAACAGCCAAACAAAATGAGTTCCGACTGGGTAGGATTGGGAATGTGGGGGCTTGGTAACTCCGGCAGCACTGAAAGGATCAGGGGTTTGTGCGTTTCATGTGGGATCAGCTTAAAACAGTTTATAGAAACATCAAAGAGGCATAAATAACAGGAATTGAAAAAATACTTGACCAAATGAGGAGTGATGACAAACAGACAAAGTTACTTCCTGCAATTTTGACTTTGGTTTGAAATAAGGGGCCGAGAAGATATCAACACATATGCTATCAGTTTTATCAGCGCTGACTTGCAGCAACAAACACTGTTTAGTAAAGATCTTTTTATCATTTTTCTATTAGATGAGTAGCTACCGAGACAAGTGTATGTTTTTCTTGAGCGATGCAATGTCTGTAATGTATGTTTATAATGTAGTATTTTCTGATTTTACGTTTTGTATCGATTAATTTGGCTGCTACCTTGGCCAGATATCTCTCGAAAAAGATATTCTGAATCTCAATGGGAGCTCCTGTTTAAATAAAGGAAAAAAAACAGATCTAACTAAATGGACGATGCATAGAGATTGATTGGTTTCTGTTTTGCCTGTTTTATTTTCTAATCAAGTATGTTTTGTCTGTAAGCACTGACAGAGGAAGCGCAATTAGCACGACTCAAAGGGGGCTTGTTTGTAACATTTAGTTTCAAGATTTGTCACAAAATACTGTACTAAAATAAATAATACCATAATCTATTCCATTGTCTTTTTGCCTATCCTTTGATCCTCTTGAGATGATAGTACTCTCATTTCCCCTCATATATTCAGCTGAAATTTTAGAGGTGCAATTCCACAAATAAAAAAACATTAAAGGTGCAATGTGTAAATTTTCTGGTGGAGGCTCTGTCAAATGCTTTTCTCTGTGAAGATGTTAGTGCCTTGTCAGTATTAAACCTTTCTATCTTCACAGAGACCAAACCAGACCAAGTTACAGGTCAGATCTGTGGAGAGGCAACCCCGCTCACATTCAGAATGCTTGTTTTTCTATGTATTTTTGAGGTACAAAAACCACCTGTATTTTCATGAATGTAAGGTAGAGCGGTTTAATGTCATACTGTGGAACATTCCAGGCAGCGCAATGTCATATCCAGCCATAAAATTACATAGTGCACCTTTAAAATTTTATATACCACACATTTTCATTCATGTAGGTTGTATTTTAGACAGCAGAACGTAGGAATTAATGCTATCTCAAATGCAAATTTTAAAATTTTGTCTGTCGTCTGTGCAAAATGGTAACTTACTACTATTTGGCCATGACACATAATTTTAAAGACTTAGACATAATGTTCTTCACAAAACACCCACTCACACAGGCAGCATTCAAAAGCCTAGAGAAGCCCCCAGGACAGGCTCCCATCAAAGACTTAAATCATTATTTGTAACATACACTGCTACACACACTTTAATGACACGACCTGTGGGCTGTTTACTGCCTGAAGGATTTGGTGTCATCCCTCTCCAAAGTCTAACCCTGTGCACGGAGCTGATTTTACATGTTTGTAATGAAAGAAGATACAAACAGAGGAGAGATGGAGTGTGCACACCAGAATAGTTGTGTCTACAAGAGAGACAAGAGAAAACAGACATGTGAGTCACTGAGTAAAAAAAGATAAAAAGATATTGATTGGTTTAGAGAGTTAGGTATGCTGTATCCTCTAGACTAAACATCACATCTGAGGAGAAATGTCAAGATCAATGTATTGAATTGTACTGGTGAGAAAATTGACTATATACTTAAAGAGCAGGCACATTCAAAGTAAAGTCAAAGTGTTAAGACTGTGTGTTAAGCCATGGATTTGTAAAATACTGTTGTACAAGCATGTTCTACCATATGTTACTAATTTAACAGAGTTCGTCATGTCTTGGGTTTAGTTTACTCAAGCCATACTAAACTTAAGTTCAAAATGTGTCTAGATACAATAAACTCCTCAAACTGTCATCTGTGGATTTGTGTAATTCTCATAGTGAATTACACCAGAATCCGAGCTGTTTAATGAAGCCCCGGTGTTAACCTGGAGAGGCTAATATTTGCCCGTTGGCTCCAGGCGCTCTCGGGCCCTGGCATGGCCCCCCAGAGTGATCAGTCAGGACTGTGGCCAGACACTTTTACTGCCACTGTCTCAGCTCCAATTAGGCAGCGGCTGCTCCTCTGTCTGTGTCTGGCTTCAAAGAACTCAAGAAATGTGGATGTCTGGACAACAGTGGACAGCACTGGAGTGGTCACATGACCAGACAGCACTACAGAGCCACAGCAGTCTATTAACTCAGAGTCTTTCTCCTCTGGATAAAGAGCCACTTGCCCCGGGACAGTTGAGCCTCAGTGACATCACAAAGTGCACTACATCTCTTCTATCCTTTAGCTGCCACTCATCCAGTGTCAGAGCTGACTGCAGGGCAGAGCCAGTCTCACGACATCCACACAGAAAGAAAAGAGGCTCTCAGGGTGGGATTATAGTGCACTTCATTCACTCCTCACAGAATAACAAGTGTGTCATGGTGTCACAGTTGTCTGAATTAAAATACCGGAGATTGGGATGTCTTCATTTGTACTACACATAAGTAAGCACATATTGATTTTGGCTGCAATACAATATATGTAATTAGGCCTGTCATCATAGAAAGGAAATGTTTGTTTTTTTTTATGTTTTTTTTTTTTTTTTTGCAATGCCTTAAAAGAAGATAAAGTTTTGCCATACTTATCCTGCATGCTCTTTTCTATAGCAATATATCATACTTCCAAATGTGTCATGTAGTTGTATTTGTTTGTAAGACTTAAAGAATGACACACTGTACAAAAAACAATCGATTGAATTTGGACATGCACTCACCTGGCATCCTCTCTTCTCGATCTCATTGATGCACTTGCTGATGAGCAGTGGCACCATAAGTCCTGTGTTCTCCCTCTCCACCACGCGCCAGGCCTCCACTCCAAACACCACGGGCTCTCTATCTCCATCCGGACCGTCTAGCGAATTCTGCCACTGCTCCATCAAACTCAGCTTCACATAGATCAACCCACGTGGCTCAAGTTTGACTGCCAACTGGTGCGTTCGAGTAACCCTGAAAAGCGTAGGAAGAACCACCGTACCATGGCAGCAGACTTTATTCTTTTTCGGCGTGGGTTCCCAACTGAACACTACCAGTTTTAAGTGCTGGGCATTTTCTAGTTCAATATTAAAAGTATGGTCCATGTCTAAGAAGGTAGTGCGACATGTGAGGAGGGCAGTTCGTGCTTTATTAACCGAGTCCACTTGAATGGCGCAATAAACATCTCGAGAGTCAATTCTCGGCGGTTTCAAGTCCTCTGCGCCATAAAAATGCAAATTCATAAGTCCAGAGATGTATTGGCTGCACTTGGGCTGCTCAGTGAAGCTATAATGTCGGAAAGCGTCTATATCCAAGTCCATATTATTTAATCGTCCATCAGTCTCCTTGTTTTTCACCGCTTTGTTTTCTGAAGAACCGTGCTTTCCAGATTTGGCTACCAACTCCGGTGAATCCCCATCGCTTAGATATCCTCCTTTACTAGCTGATTTTGAACTGCCGCTACTTTTCTTCTTACTAAAACTACCTTGCGTTGAAACACTGCTGTCTAGATGATAGCGTGAGATGACATTTCGACTGGCCTGCCCACCCCCGGGGGCAGATAATCGTGGTGGACCAGATGTTTGGGAGACAGCTTCGGTCCCATTATTTTTAGGTGAGCTGGATCTAGGCTCTGATTGGTTGTTTCCATTGCTGCTGTTATTGCTGCTGCTACTACTTGGGCCCTTTACGCTAAGTTTGCGGCTAAGTTCTGGTAGCTTCTTCATTTTCATGGAGATTTTCCTGACGGTGCGAGGGGACTTGATCTTATCAGGGAAAGACCAGTTGATGGCGCTGCTCTTCTTGGTGGGGTTAGGGCTTGAAGGTGGAGAGAAGCCGATAGAGATGCTGGGGATTTCAGGGCCATCTGGAACAATAAAAAAATATGCATTGAATTAAACTGCTATACAAGAGTGCAATTGTTTCAAGAATCTAAGTAAACTGTAGCCCTGCTTGTTGCCATTGAGATGTTATTGCATTACCTAATTAGTAAATAAACTGACCCATCTTATATTCATTGTGTTTGGTTTGTTAACACATGTTTGAGCAATGCTGCTTTATTATTACTCTACATACAGTGCCAAAGCTCCAAAATCAGTGACAAAAATTCAACACAATGTTTATGATGATGAAACAACATTATAACATAGACCAGCAATAGCATAAAATGGGGCTGTTCAAGAAAAATGATTTGTAAAGTACCAAAAATTTAATTTGTAGCCTAATTGAGTAAAAACAGATGAAAAACAACCTCACCCCTTGACCTGATGGCAAATGTAGATTTTGTGAGGATAAATTACTTTTTAATCTGTTTATCTGCCCAGCGCAGACAGACAGGGAGGAGAAAACCTAAACACTGGAGCAGCCAAGTCTGCCAGAGTCACGGTTTACACTAGAAAGGGCACTACACCTCCAAAGCAGCCTATCAAGTCATTAGCTTTACAAGAACATAGTAATCCACTCAGATACATTCAGACAGACTTCATATAAACACCACTGCGCTATAACACATGGGAGCCTATATGTAAACCTAGACAAAGTTTTGGCTAATTAAGATCAAAAGAAAAGGGGAGATGGCTTAAATCTAGGCCTGTCACGATAACGGATTTTTAAGCACCATATAGTGCTACCGAGAAATACGATGAACGATAAAATTTAAAGTACTTTATGACACTGACACAGTGACAATGATGCAGGATAATCCCAGTAAAGCAGTTTAAATTTACAGTATCATTTAAAAGGCCTGAGCTGCAACAAATAAATTACAGAATGAACGAATAATTAGCCATAGAGGTTAATTATTCTACAGCTCAAATCTTGTATTACAACTAAAATACCCCAAATCTTAGTAGTAAAAGTACGGTACTTAAGTAAAAATTTTAGGTATCCATACTTTACAGAAGTACATTTTAAAGTGGATACTTTTACTTTTACTTCAGTACATTTGAGAGTAGGTATCTATAATTTCTACTTCACTACATTTTTGAACAGGAAGAGAAGTAAAAGTATTCTTTATGAGTGATTGAGACCTGCTGAAAAGGCTGAGGGTTTATTTTTTAAACACATTTGTAGTTAAAGCAAACAAAAATATACAAATAAAAACAGCTAGAAAAAAATGACTAATCCAGTTGTTTCTACTGAACAAAATTGAGAACTGAAGCCGTATAAGATCTAATACTTCTAATTTTTAGTCTTTTTGCTCCAGTATTTGCACTTTTACTTAAGTAACAAATTTGAGAACTTTTTCCACTACTACATATATTCGATATAATAATATATAATAAAATAAGTCAAAATAATAATCATTATCGTGGCAGGCCTACTTAAACCCAATAGCACCCAAAGAGTTTGCATGCATCTTAAGAGTGGGCTGAGTTTGAGCTAACACCAGGGAAATAGAAGTGGAATGTCATTAGCACTGGCTCCAGGAAAAACAGTAGTTTCTAAGCAGGAGAATGTCTGACTAGAGACACAAACTGCTACAGGGCTAAGCTAGAGTTACACAGCCATTATTCAAGTCCACAAAATAAGCCTTTGGAGGAGACCAGGTGGGAATTTGTAACCTCAAATCATGTCTGCACACTGGAATTTTCAAATATTCCTGCCTGAAACTATAATTTTCATGTCTAAAATATATTATAATTTATTTAATGTAATTGTAGACTTCTGAAAAACGTCTGAAAATTCAACTCTAAAATTTTTTGGAAATAAGCAATTTGTTGACATAATTCATCCAGTATTTTTGCTAATCTAATCTGTCAGCTATTGTGTGGAAACAATAGTGTGCCGTCATACAAATTCCCAAATATATTTTTAGCCCAATTCTAGGAGATTTAGACATTACTTAATCTGTCCTACTTTACCTCAAGCATGACTAATTGTAATTAAATATTATGCAATCAGATGAAAGCGAGTTTGGACAGTGCAAATTTGTTAAGACTAAATGATGAGATGTTTAACTTGAAATGTTCCACAGTATGGCACTAAACTACTATTTTGCATTGATTCAGCTTTTTTGTTTTGTCACTAAAATTAACTTTGGCAAAACATGCATTCTTCAGGGTTGCCCTTCCACAGATCTGTAACTTATCGACTTATCTCCATGTAGATAGATACGTTCAATGCAATACTGCAGAACATTCCAGGCAAAGCAATGATAAACAAGTGGCTCCATCAGAAACATTACACAGCTCACCATAATATTAGATAATTAGTCATAATAATAATAATTATTATTATTATTGATTTACTGTTTAATACTTGATATATGGGACAATTAGCTTTTCTTACTGGCACTTCCTTTGTACTAGTGAGGAACAGTTTTGTCATTTTTCTAATTTGAAAGTATAAATAACTTCTATGACTCATTACATGATTCAATAACAATCCTGTAATTTTTTTTTTTTTTTTTTTTTGCTTTGTTTTGGGGTTTTTTTTGGTGGGGAAGGGGGTCCTGCTTTTAGGCTATTGTGTCAGTGGCATAATGGCATTATTGGTTATCATTTATAATATCTTCATCAATATATTGTACATCAAATTGTGTTCCCATGACAGGCCTATTTAATAAAGATGTTCTAAAGAGGCAGCTAATTATTTCTTGAGATAGAGACTTTAACAGAGACTGAGCACAAAGAGAGATACAAAGTGAGGAGATCGCCAGCGCTTGACCCTGCCAACATCCCCAGGACTATTTCCAGCGGAGACCTGCTGAGCTATTCTGAGGAAAGAGCCTGTATTGAATGAAGGGAGTCAGAAGAGGCTCAACAGGATGGAGAGAGGGGTAAGACGGGGGCCAGCAGCAGACCAGGGAGCAGCCAACAGATGGGGGACAAAGCATCCCCTTGTCCCACTCCTCAAGTCTGGATGGTGAATGTACAAATGGGCCTGGCTGTTCTCGTGCATTCCACACCAAACTTGTTTAGGTGCTTGCTTTAGCTGCTGAGTGGACTGCCCTGTCACGGCTTCCTGCCCATAATAGACACAGAGGGCTCTAAGAAGCTAAAGCAGGGCGGAGGCCAGAAGAGGTGCAAATTCACCAAAAATGCGAGAGAGGAGGGGTCAGGTAAACACAGGGCCCGCTCAGGGCTGGAACAGAGTTTTCAAAAGTCAAACATGAATTACAAAGCTGCCTTCAACACTCCTGCTTACTCAACATGATGTAAAGTGAGTTACATAAATGTGTATATGGCAAAAATGTTCTTTGTATAGTGCCAAGGTTTTGATTCCCAGATGGCTGTCCAAGTATGGCTCACAATTTTATTTGAATAATGTAAACATATGCTAAATTGAAGTTGTATTTTGAGTGATTCATGCATGTTTGAGGCACCATTGCTCTAAAAATTCCAGTTATGTATGCACACCCACTGCTATATTTTTTCAAACAGTGATACACACAGGGTCCAAAAACATCATCGTCATTTTGAAACAATTCTTTTTTTAATTCCAGTATCTGCTATCATCAGCACCGCAGTGTTGAAAAGCAAGTCAATAGATCTGTTAGTGTCTTTAATTCATTTTAGATCAAGATTGTCTTTTAAAAGTAATTAAATGTGAAAATGTCTCATATATAATAACTGAATACCAGAAAAACATAATATGTCTTCTTTAGAACTAACATGACCTCTGCGAACTTATACAAATATTTCTTATAACAACAAATCAGACCTAGTTACCCTGTCATGGCTCTCTTGATATATGGCCACGTGCAGCTTCAAATCAAACTTTGTGGCTACATCTTTCCCAACACAGCAGTAAAGCTATTAAGTAATATATGAATTTCAAAAACAACTGCCCTGCCTAATCTACATTATAATCAGTCTGTCTGTCTTTTCTTACATAATTGAGCCTTAAGAAGAATGTAAGCCCCAAACACTTCGCCTGCTGTCTGGCGGCTGTCCTGTTTATCAGGCCAATGTCAACTCACCCCAGGGAAGATCTGACTCTGACAAATGTAATAACAGCAAGTAGCAATTTTAAAGTGACATTTTAGACTACTCGTCTCACTTAAATATAGTTAACATAATATTTAACATAAAAGTTTATTTTACGTCCTACTTGGACATGGGCAGTAGATATGGCATACGTAGAGGTAATTCTGTAACTGCTTCTAGGCAACCATAACTTTAACATGGTCCAAAATGTGTCTAAATTATGCAGTAGTTTTTATACATATTGATATCAGTCTGGTCAAATAACATCAAACTGATCTCACCTCAGATTAACAGAGTTCAGTGCTTGGCTCATTGATTCTGCAGAAATTCACAATATTTTTTAGGGGTGTGCAAAAATATCGGAATATTGATATATCGTATCGTTTAATGTGATGATACAGTATCGATATTGTGGGCTACTGTATCGATATTTCACCAAGAGTGTTTTTAGCTGTGTTTTACTAAATTATTTTGTTACAGTGCTACAGTTTTGTTGCGTGGAAAGGAAAGGAAACTCATTTATGCGGCACATTTGACATATTTACTGTTTTGAGGATTAAAATGTTTGTGTTTCATATGAACTTTGCACAAGAAGTAATTTAACAAAGCCTTTTAGTATCACAGCCACGATTTAGCCTTTATTTTTTATTGAACCGTATCGATTCGATTTGAAATATATCATATCGAATCGAAAGTACGCTGTATTGCAATATTTATCGTATCGTGGCCTGTGTATCGAGGTATGTATCGTATCGGCAACTCCTTAATGATACCCAGCCCTAATATTTTTCAATCCCTTGTGATTGTTTTTTGATGTTTTTTATTTTATTTTTTACGATACTGACAGACCATGTGTGTCCCTGATTGGCTAATTTAATCCACCACCCATGTGAAAACTGGGAGATTTACCAATGACCAGACTCACATTTTCATAAAG